ACAGAGCGGGGGTGGGGGGGAGCTTATTAGATGGAGGAGTCAGTGGAACCGGCTGCCACATGGAGGAATGAGTGCTTCGAGGGGCCCCATATTGGACGGGGTTGGGGGCTGCTCTGGTTCCCTCCAGGTCCTACTCCAGGGTGACGAAGGGATCCACAAGAGGTTTGCAGCCCAGACCTGGCAGCCAGAATGGGTAGGGAGGCCCAGAGGTTGCCTGCAGAGCCTGGGAGGTGGGGTGGGGGGGGTGTAGAGGGCCCTGCCTGCCCTGGGTTGGGGGTCCTGCGAGACACTTGGCGCTTCCCTTCCACCTCCAAAGGCCCAAGGAGACCCTCCCACCGCTGGCCTCTTCCGGCACTGTAGCACCTCTGGGGCTGAGGCTCTGGGTGTGTAGACGCTGCTGCACCGAGAACCACAATGGACGAGCTTCCCCACCCAACCCCAGGCCCCCATGGGTGGGGACACCCCCCCTTTGTGACTTATTGGGACAGGTTTCACCCAGGCGAAGAGTTTGGGATCAGGCAAAGCCAACTGCTTGGGCTGCCCCCCACCCCCCCTTCCCTCAGCCTTCATCGGGACTCCGCCTTGCCAAGCACGGGCGGCTGTGTGGGAGCAGAGAGGCCAGGAGCAGCACGGGCCCCATCTCTGTGCAAGGGCCCCTGGCGAGGCTTGGGGTGGAGGGGACGCCAGGCCAGCTCCCCCGATTGGCCCCGGCTGGGTGGGAGGCTGAGCCCAGCTGGCACTTTTTATTCGGAGCAGCTGTGGTTTTATCGGGGAGGGGGAACCAAAACCCCCTTCCAGCCGCCCAGGGAGGGGGAGGGAGCTGCGGCAGCGAAACTTGGGAACATTTGGGCAAATGGGGGCGGGGGGAGCCCAGCCCAGCCCTGGAGGGACCAGACTTGACCTCCCCTCCCCGGAGGAAAGTGGGAAGGAGGAGCCTCGGTGCTGCCCCGGAGGTATCTTGGTGGTGCCCCGTCCAAGGACCGGTCCAGCTTCCTTCTTCCCTCTTTCTCTTTGGATTGGGCTCGTCTCTGGAGAGACTGGAGGCGCCCCCCCCCCCGCCGAAACTGACGTCACCCGCTCACACCATCTGCTGAGGGAGGGGCACAGGTGCGCCTATGGCGGGGGGAGAATTCCTCCCCCAGTGCCATGGATCGCACGTCTCCAGGAGCCTCGCTCAAACGCAGGGGAACCGCTGGTCTCCATGGCGACGGCGGGCATGACGCACTTTGCCTGCACCAGATGAGCATCGGAGCTCGGGGGGCAGAGAAAATCCCTGGAGGGGCCGGGGGACCCCCCCCCCCCCCCCCGGGGGGTGGGCAGAACGCAGGTGCCCACCTGCCCACCTAGCAGCCGAGAGCCTCTGTTTGGGGGCGAGGGTGGGCAGGGGGCAAGGATGCCACCTGCAAGGGCCTCGCTGGTCAGGCAGAAGCCCCCGGGCGTGGCCCAGCCCCCTCGGTCTGAGGTCCAAGGAAGCGGGGCGGGGGTCCCTCGCCCGGTGGGCAGTTCTGGTCCCGGGAAGAGCTTGGCCGAGCCAGACCCCACCGGGCCCTCCTGAAGAATCAGACCAGCGATAGGAAAGCGGGTGGGATAAATCCGTGTTTATTCATTCAAGGAAGACTATTTCTAAATAAAGGCTACATTGTACCGTTCGTCTCCGTTTCATTGTTACATGGTTATTATAATAGGGTCGCTTTGCGGGTCGGTGGGCGCGTTTCTCGTTCGCTGTAAAAAAAAAAAACCCTTTTGCACAGTAGCTGGAATCGTCATGCCGGCCGCGGAGAGGAAAACTAACCGGGAGGGTCGTATTTACAAGGCTGCGTCGCCCGGCTGGGAAATTCAGGAGCACCGCGGGTGGCTGCCGCCGGGGCTGGAAGAAGATCGCGGCCCCCGCCGGCCCTCGGACCGAGCGGCGCCTCGCAAGCCGGCAGAGGCTCCGCGCCCGCCTGGCCTTCGGCGGTGCAGCAGCAGCAGCAGCAGCAGCTGGCGGGGGGCGGGGGCGGGGGGGTCGTTCACATCCACGAGGAGGCGGGGAGAGGCGGGCGGGGGGGGCGGTTCCAGGGTGCGGGAGAAGGAACGGCTGCCCAAAGCGGACGCTGGAAAGAAACGGCTCCAGCGGGCGTTGCGGCGGAGCCTGGGGGCCCGCAAGCTGACAAGCAGCGAGAACGTCCGAGCCTTTCCGACGGCCCCGAAGGCGCCCTCAGGGCTCGGATCGCTTCGCATGGAGCTCGCGCACACAACGGGGGCAGCTGATCGGTGCACGGGCGGCCGGAGGGCGGCCCATCCTGCCCGGTTGGGGCAGGGAACCTCAGGAGGCGCCGGGGTCGACCCCAAGACCGTCCACGCAGCTCGCTTGCTTCCCTCAAGGGCGAGAGAAGGGCTGCCCGGGCCTGCTCCCCACCCCCCACCCCCGCCAATGGCCCCTTCAGGCTAGAGGGGGATTCTCTCCCCCCCATCCCAACGGTGGCTTCAGCGGCGCCCCAGCAGCTTCCCTCCTCCCGTCGGAAGCCCCCAATAGGGCCGGCCAGGCGGCGCCCCGTGTGCTGACCCTAACCCGGGCAGCCCAGAGGACAGGATCCTGGGTGCCTCCTGCCAGGCTCCTGCAGCTCCTGGACCCTGGCCTCCTCCCTCTCGGAGGAGCCATCCGGTTTCTGGAGGGCTGAGGGTGGGGGGGTCAAGCAGCCCCCCCCCAAAATGTAGCTCTCTCTGAGTGTCCTCAGTGGCTCCCTTGCAGGCTCCCAGCCTCGGTCCCTGAGGGGCTGCAGGCCTGCAAGGCAGGAGGGTCAGCGGAGGGGACAGGCAGTCCCAGCAGTGCCCCCCAGATACCAGCCTGAGGCGCCAAGGGAACAGGGGGCGGGGGGGCGGCTGGCAGCCGAGTGGGTCCATGGGAGAAGTTCTCCGGGGCGGTTCTGGGTGCTTCGCCCCTCTGGGAAGGATGGAGGTGGACCAGGAACTCCTCGACAACCGTGAAGCAGCCTCCCTTCCAACTCTGTCGCCTTCCATCCTTCCACCTAATTGCAGGTGGTTCCACTCCAAAGGGAGGCCTCGCTTGCCCTGCCCGGCCCGGAGCCCAGGGAGAGGAGGGGGCTGGGCGGCAGCTGCCACCCATCCCTTTCTGCGCCCCACAGAGGGAGGGAGGGAGGGGGGGAGGGAAAGCTGTGGGCAAGGAGGGGGACCCTGGCCAGGGGGGGAGGAAGGGCAGGCTGCGCCAGAGTCCTCTAGGCCCCCTTTCCTGCATAGCCAGGCCCTCTGCCCACTCCACTTGCCCCCCCCGCGCCCACCCCCCGTGGGTTGAGAGCTTTCCTGAGTGGGTGGGGGAAGCCACTCCCTGGAGATAAGGGCCGCCCTGCCCAGCGCTGCCCAGGAGGCCGACCAGGCAGTGCCTCCTCCTGTCGGTCGCCTGCGGGTCTCGTCAGCTGGCCTAAGGGGGCAATTCAGAAAATGCCCAGGGTCTCTTGCAACTGCCCCCCCCACCCCCCCACCCCAACACCTTGCAAAAGTTTGCAAATAGAGAGCTAGCCTCTGGGTGGGTGGGGGGATCCCCTCACCTCTGCCCCCTCCCCACCTGCCTTGATGGCTGCTGGAAGTTTTCAGTTGAGGAAGGGGCTGGAGGTGAATGCCAAACAACTGCAGCTGGCAGTGTGTACACACACACACACACACACACCCTGTTACGCAAGGAGGCATACACACACACTGACCCCTTTCATGGCAGGCCCTGCCTGTGCACCTTGAGCCCTGGTTGTGCAATTGTGAAACACAACTGCTTGCACCACAGTTTTAAAAAAGAAAAGTGAAGCGCCAACCTCCCCCCGGGCCTGTTGTTGCAACGAGGAAGGTGCCCCTTCTTCTCCGGGCCCCTCTGGCCTCCAAGGAAGGCGGGCGGGGGGGGGGGCCTGTCCAGCCTCTTCTTCTACCTGTGGGCTGGGGGCTCTTGGGAGGGGCAGGAGGAGGAGCTCTTGCTGTGGTGCCAGGTGTCCCCTGACCAGCCGTTTCGGGGGCTCCATCCCTCCCATCGGGACGGGGGGGGGGCGGTGTCCAGGAGCCACTGCCTGGGCGGGGTGTTGGGGTCTGCAGCGGATGGAGGCTGGGAGGCCCAAGCTCCCCCCTCCTTGGCCAGAGGGGACCCGCTTCCGAGTGGCCACCCAGCCCACCACCTCCTCTGTCACAGCCGAAGTTGCCCCCGTGCCATTTGCCAGCTGTGGCTCTGCAGCCCACTCAGGCCCAGCCTTCCTCGGCCTCCCTGGTGGCCCAGAAACACGCCCACAAATTGAAGACAGATCACGAGGGGGGGGGGGCTCACACTAAGCAGCACCTTCACTGTCCGGCATGGCGGGGAGGGGAGGGAAAGGAGGAGCTGCCGCTTCCGTGGGGCCAGGGGTCCTGGGGCTGCCCCCACTTCTGGCCTGCAGGCTCTGGAGCACCAGGGCAGTGGGAGAGGCCTTCTCTGGAGGGGGGGCTCTCCCAGTGGACCCCTCCCTTGGGACCCTGCACTACCTCCAGCAGGGGCTGGGCCATGAAGCAAGGAAAGGCCAGCTGGGGTCTGGCAAGTGGGGGGGAGCCAAGCCACCCCCTCCCTCCCACCCCCAGGAGTTTGCGCAGACCTGGAGGGCTGCAGCCACCCCACAAGCCGGGAGTCTTCTGCAGCGGCAGGCGGCCGACGGGCAGGCTGGACGGCTGGCTCTCCCTCCTTAGGCTGAAGTCCCTGGGGGCACCTTCCACCCGTCCCGTCCAGCAGTCCGAGGCCTGGGGGGCCAATGGGCGAACCCCCCTGGAGTGGAAGCAGCTCGTCTCTCCTCTGTGCCCACCGAGGTTCACTCCGGGGGCTCCCCAGCCGAGCCCCCAAGTCCGAGTCCGCTGCTGCTGCTGCTGCTGCTGCTGAGTCGGAGGGGAGCGGGGGGCACGGGGGCCGGGCAGCCCCAAGAGAGCCGGGCTGCAGGAGGGGGAGGAGCCGGAGGCGGCCAGACGGATGGGGGGCGGGAAAGGGGGGGCCGGCCGGCCGCTCACATGAGGCTGCACTTGCCCTTCAGCTTCTCTGTCCGCTTCTGCTTGCTGGCACGCTTCCCGTCGATGCCGAGGCTCATGTCGCGGCGCTTCTCCAGGTTGAGCAGCTCCTGGAAGAGCTCCTTGACGTTGTAGTTCATCTTGGCCGAGGTCTCCATGAAGGCGCACTGCCACTCCTTGGCCACCGCCTCCCCCTCGGGCGTCTGCACCTCGCGCTGGGTCTCGTCGCACTTGTTGCCCACCAGCATGATGGGGAAGGCCTCCCCGCCGCCCTTCAGCTGCACGATCTGCTGGTGGATGGGCCGCAGCTCCTCCAGGGACTGCCGGCTGGTGACCGAGAAGACCAGGATGAAGGCGTGGCCCTTGGAGATGGACAGGCGCTGCATGGCGGGGAACTGGTGGCTGCCGGTGGTGTCGGTGATCTGCAGCGTGCAGACGCTCTTGTCGCAGCTGATCACCTGCCGGTAGGTGTCCTCGATGGTGGGGATGTAGGTGTCGCGGAAGGTGCCCTTGACGAAGCGCAGCACCAGCGAACTCTTGCCCACGCCCCCGGCCCCGAAGACCACCACCCGGTAGTCGTTGCTCTGCTCCGGCATCTTGGACGGGCTGGCGGCGGGGAGGGGTCAGCGGCTGCCCACCTGGGGGGGGCGAGAAAGAAGAAGGACGGTCAACCCAGGCAGGCAGCAGGCGGAGCTCCCAGAAATGTCCCCCGACCCCCCTGACCCCCCCCTCCCCGAGGCTCTCCCCCGTCCCAGAATGCAGGACCTTAAATATCCGGGGCAGAGGTCCCACGGCCCAGCCAAGGGTGAAGGCAGGGGGAGGGGCTCCCACAGAGCCAGCTTCCTTGCAGGCGGGTGAGTGGGGCGAAGTGGTCTGAGAGGGAGGATCTGGGCTCGGTGGCTCTCTGCCTCCCCTCCCTCTTCCCGCGGCTGCATGGCTGTTCCTTCCTCGCTTACCGACCTTGGACATCATCTTTGGTCTCCTCCCCAGGTGTGCCCAGAGTTTCGGCTGATTCTAGCATTTCTTCTCTCTCTCTCTCTCTCTCTCTCTCTCTCTCTCACACACACACACACACACACACACACACACACCTTGCACACCTGGGACTCGGGGAGGTTATTATTTCCCTTCTCTCGACTTATACCCCTTAGACCTCTTGACTCAGAGCAAAGGCATCACCCGCCCGGGGTAAAGCAGGCGGGCTCCGAACAGGGGCATTTCCCGGGCATCGTTGGGGCTGCAGAAGCTGCTCCTCCTGCAGGTTTGATGACAAAGCATTTGGGGAGCAGCAGCAGCACCCCCCCCCCGAAAGGCTGATGAAAACTGAGCAAAACCAGAGAGGGCAGCTGGGCCCGCACCAGCCCCCAAGTTCCCTGCAGCATCGGGTCTGGGCTTGGGGTGGGGGTGGGGGAGCATTCACTGAAGGAGCTTGGGGGGGGGGAGCAGAAAGATCAGCCCACCCCTCAGGATTCTGCCCAGAGCTCCCTGCAGGATCCCCAAAGCCCTTGGGAGAGAGAGGAGAATCAGAGGGAAGCATTTGAAAGAAGCTTGAGGCCATCTAGCCCAACCCTCTGCCTGGTGTAAGAGGAAAGGCCCTCCGGCCTCTGCTTAAGGCCTCGAGCCAGGTGCGGGGAGGGGGCTCAACTCCCAGACCTCCTGGGAGGCAGCGAGCCAATCGCAGCTCTTCCCCAGGCCCCGCCTTCCAAAGTGGGCCGTTCCCGGGGAGGTTCGGGCTCCAGTCCTGGCCATGGGCACTTGCCCCTCCTGCAGCCAGTCGTGCCGTTGGCTCAGGTGATTTAGCTGCTGACCCATCCTGGATTCGCGCCTCAGTTTCCCCCCCATCAATCTTGGCCTTTGCAGTCTCCGTTTCCTTCCTTTGGGGGCAACCCCGCCACAGGCATCGTCCGGTCCTGGCGGCCACCTTCCAGAGCCCTTCCCGATGACCTGGCACAGCCCTTTTCACGGCTCTCCCCTTCGCCCTGAGAGGCAGCTCAGACCCCCTCCTATCAGGTGCGACGCCAAGGACTCCCCCCCCCCAAAATGCATCCATGGCTCACTGAAAGTCCCCAGCCCCGTCCGGGCGCTCGTGAAGGGCAACTGCCCAGGGCCTCCATCCAGGGCTGCTTGAGGATGCGTGGAAAGGCGGCTCGGCCCTGCAGGGAGACTCCCAGGATTTCCCTGGGTGGGATCCATCCGGATGTTCCTCCGGAGGCTGCTCCTCCTCGGGGGCTCCGCCCTTCTGAGCTCTCTCAGCCGGGTGGTTCAGCTCAGCCGCCTGGAAGGACCCGGAGCTCCAGCGACCCCCCTGGGCCCCCTTTCCCCTCTGCTTTTCTGCCAGGTGTTTGGACTGACGCCCTCAAGACCTGGTGTTTCTTTCTTCTGGGGTTTCCCTTGACTTCTCAACCGGCCACCGTGAAGCCCCACCAGGGCATGCAAAACACCAGGTTTCCAAGGACAATTAGCACCCATATAAGGAAAACGTACCTTGAAACAGAACTGAACCACCCACCGTTTGGCCCGAAGGAGAATGACAAGCCCTCCCAAGCGGCGTCTTCGGAAGCCTCTGTGTGTGTGTGCTGGGAGCTGCTTGCGTCTCTTCCTGGGGGATGAGCTCTAGGTGTGAGGCAGCCCCCACCCCGACACAGGAGCTCAGCTTCCGGCTGCTGGCCAGGCTTGGTTGCTTGCGGGACTCTCCCTCCATCCCTGTCACCTGTTGGAGCCTCAGAGGGGCAGGAGACGGGGGGGGGAGCCCCTCTCTGGGGACTCTGATCCGGCCCCTGGGCCTTTGGGAAGGCTGCAGAGTCCTGGCTGCGTCTCCCCAGGCATCAGGCAGGAGGACCTTGAACCGGGATTAGAGTCCTGGCCCTTGGACTGCTTTAGCAGGAGAGTTTCGTGGTTTTTGACCGTTGGTGACGGATCCTTTTTAAGGGTTTGGTTGTTTCCACTGTGTGTTGCCCTGAGTTGCTTCTGAGAGGCCGGCCGTGTTGATTGCGCAGCTCCACAGCTGAAAAAAAAAGACCAAGGAAAGCCCCCCAAATCCGGGAGAGGTGGAATTAAACCTCGGGGGAAGAAGGACCTGCTGCTGGAGCCTGGAGGAGCTGGGAGTGGCTGGGAAATCCTCCCGGTCTTGTGCGAGCTCTCGGGGCCTCTGGCGGGCGCATCTGCCTTCTGTCCAATGTGCTGGTGAGGGGTCTCCTAAGAAGGCTGATCTCCGCGGGGGAGAAGCATCCCGCACCCCCAGAACCCTCGTGCTGTGCTGCTCATTTGTTGAAGGCGGCAGCTGAATGAGGGAGGTTACAATGATCTTGCAGAGCAGTCCAGTTGTCTTTCCTTTGGGGCAAAGAACTGAGGAAAGAGTTGAAGTTGGCCGTCGTTTACGAAGCCCCAGGTGGGCGCCTAACACAGGCCAGTGCAACCCCAGGGAAGCTCCAGCGTTGGCCCCCTGCTCTCCCCCTGGTTGCTAAGGCCTTGGAGTCAAGGCACAGCCATTCACCAGTCTGGCCACAGCCTCGGAGCAGCCCGGAAGGCAGCACAAGATGGGGAAGACCGTCAACAACCAAAACAGATCTGGACAATTTAGAAATCGCTTACAAACAAGACACCTAGCGGACAAATGCAGCGTCTTCGATTGGGGACAGAGAAATCAGACCGGGGGGGGGGGGGATTCCTGGCTTGGGGATAATGATAATAATGGCAAAGAGATCACTGAAGAGGGACTGATTGCAGGCTAAAAGGAGCTGGCAGCACGACGTGGCTGCATAAAACAACAATGCAGAGGCCATTTTTTTCTTTACATCAATGAAAGTCATTTCCGAATTACAAGCGGTCCATTGTCCTGCAGGATCCAGAGAAAAGTTCCAGGGATGAACCTGGACTAAAAGCCAAATTCTGGGAGCAGAGAGCAAGGAGCTGCAGGGGTTTCTCAGGGCTGGAGAAAAAAACACCTCAGCCCAGGCCAAGACCCCCCCCCCCCAATGGAGGGGAGAATCCGGCCTCCAAGCCACGGAGAGGCAGACTTGGACGGAAGGCCTGGGAAATATGGCCAGCCATAAGAGGTGTTTGGCAGGGGAACCAGTGAGGGGACAGGCACCAGGTGGCTTTCATCAGAATTCTGTCACTGAGCAGAGGGTTGATCTGGATGTCCTCAAGCTCCCCTTCCAACTCCTTGCTTTTCCCATTCAAGGCTAAATATCCCGACTGTCTCAGGGACATTGGCAGGAATCCTCCCAGACTCCCACCTGTGAGGGATAAAACTGCGTGGAAAAGAATTTCTGCTTGGGAAATTTCACCTCCTCCCCTAAATGGCAGCGCCCCCCCTCCCAACAGCCGGCCCCCAGCAGCCTATCCATGGGGAAGCAGGCTGGCTTTGCGGGGAGGGGGAGGGGAAACGTCCCTTAATAGGATCAGCGGTTCTATGTCTCGCTCCAGTTGAAGCGGCCGGCGGCTCCGGGCAGCTGGGGAGGGGAGGGAGGCTTTCGGAAGCCCCTTCCCCGCTCGGCCTCCGCCGAGCGCCCCCTCCTGCCCGCGGCGGTGCTGGCAGCCCAGCGGGAAGCAGCGTCAGAGGCGGCCTTTGCGGCGGGCGAGGTGTGTGACAGGGCGCCCTTCCAAGAGGGCCGCGGCGCGGTGACAAGTGTCGCCACAGGCCGGACGAAGAAGCCCCGGAGTCTCTCGCGAGCCCTGCCTGAGAACAAGGCAGACCGGGGTCTCCCGATCAGAAGAGGCTGGGCAGGGAGGGGGCCGAGGCACGGCTGTCCCCAAGACCTTCGCCCCACGGTGGGCGCCGCACCGATCCCCAGCCCAGAAATGTCCGCGGCGAAGGCCATCAGCCCTGCCCGCCGGGGCAAAGCCGAGCAGGGTTGCCCGGGTCAGAGGGAAAAACCCCAGGATCCAGGATCTTTCCCCTGCGAGCGGCGGCCCCCTGCCCTCGCCGCCACCTTCGCTCCTGCCCCTCCACAGCGGCCGGCGGGAGGGAAGGGAGGGGCGTCTGGAACAAAGGCGGCGCGGGGCTCTCCCCCCCCCACCCCCGCGGAGCCGAGGGAGGAGACCGTCCGCATCGTCCTCTAAGCGCTGCCAGCCGATGTTTCGCCGACCTCCCTCCCTGCTGAGCCCCCGCACCGCGCTAGGGATTTGGGGCCTCTGGACGGGACTGTTCACCACAAACCGGCCACACTTTCTTTAACCAGCACAACACGGTTAGTCCCTGCTCAACGACCGTCTCTCTGCTCCTGTCCACGACAGTGAACTGGAGGATACCCACCTTTGATTGGCCGCCCCCCCCAGCCCCCCCATGAAACCTCCCTGTCTCAGGAGCCACCCACCTGGGCCCCCTCCTGCAGATCATTGGCCTGACCCACAAGAGAATGGGGGGGGGGGGAGAAGGAGCTCTCTGTGGGGGAAGTCCACAAGGATCTTTGGTACCCCGAAGTAGGGCAGACCCCTCCCTGCTTGCGCACCCGAGGAGGCCCGTCAAGCCCCAGGGCATGAGGGGACTCGGGCTGGAGTAATGCCCGGGGTGGTGGGGGCAGGGGCCTCTGCCCTTTGGGGCCGAAGGCTCCCCAGTGGAAGCCGCCTCCAGAGGGCCTGGGCACAACACATCCCCAGGCAGGCCCACCTGGAGGGCAGGTGGCAGTCTTGGCTT